CACCAATATGGTTGAGTGTCATACTAGAATGACTTGAGGTACATCCACTAATATGGTTGAGTGTCATACTAGAATTACCTGAGGTACTTCCACCAATATGGTTGAATGTCATTCTCAAATGACTTGAGCTACTTTTACTAATATGGTTGAGTGTCATACTAGAATGACTTGAGATACATCCACCAATATGGTTGAGTGTCATACTAGAATGACTTGAGGTACACCCACCAATATGGTTGAGTGTCATACTAGAATGACTTGAGGTACATCCACTAACATGGTTGAGTGTCATACTAGAATTACCTGAGGTACTTCCACCAATATGGTTGAGTGTCATTCTCAAATGACTTGAGCTACTTTTACTAATATGGTTGAGTGTCATACTAGAATGACTTGAGATACTTCCACCAATATGGTTGAGTGTCATACTAGAATGACTTGAGGTACTTCCACCAATATGGATGAGTGTCATACTAGAATGACTTGAGGTACTTCCACCAATATGGTTGAGTGTCATACTAGAATGACTTGAGGTACTTTCACCAATATGGTTGAGTGTCATACTAGAAATAGAATGACTTGAGGTACTTCCACCAATATGGTTGATTGTCATACTCGAATGACTTGAGGTACATCCACCAATATGGTTGAGTGTCATACTAGAATGACTTGAGGTACATCCACTAATATGGTTGAGTGTCATACTAGAATGACTTGAGGTACATCCACTAATATGGTTGAGTGTCATACTAGCATGACCTGAGGTACTTCCACCAACATGGTTGAGTGTCATTCTCAAATGACTTGAGGTACTTCCACCAATATGGTTAATTGTCATACTAGAATGACTTGAGGTACTTCCACCAATATGGTTGAGTGTCATACTAGAATGACTTGAGGTACACCCACCAATATGGTTGAGTGTCATACTAGAATGTCTTGAGGTACATCCACCAATATGGTTGAGTGTCATACTAGAATGACTTGAGGTACTTCCACTAATATGGTTGAGTGTCATACTAGAATGACTTGAGGTACATCCACCAATATGGTTGAGTGTCATACTAGAATGACTTGAGGTACTTCCACCAGTATGGTTGAGTGTCACACTAGAATGACTTGAGGTACATCCACTAATATGGTTGAGTGTCATACTAGAATGACTTCAGGTACTTCCACTAATATGGTTGAGTGTCATACTAGAATGACTTCAGGTACATCCAACAATATGGTTGAGTGTCATTCTCAAATGACTTGAGGTACTTTTACTAATATGGTTGAGTGTCATACTAGAATGACTAGAGGTACATCCACTAATATGGTTGAGTGTCATATTAGAATGACTTGAGGTACATCCACCAATATGGTTGAGTGTTATACTAGAATGACTTGATGTACTTCCACCAATATGGTTGAGTGTCATACTCGAATGACTTGGGGTACTTCCACCAATATGGTTGACTATCATACTAGAATAACTTGAGGTACATCCGCCAATATGGTTGAGTGTCATACTAGAATGACTTGAGGTAGATCCACTAATATGGTTGAGTGTCATACTAGAATGACTTGAGGTACAT